TTTTTTTTTTTTTTTTTTTTTTTTTTTTTTTTTTTTTTTTTTTTTTTTTTTAACTGATCAGAACAGATACTACACTTGATCTTAGCCAAAAGGCGGAGAATTTCGGCGAGAAAGGTATTCTCGCACACATCTTCAAACGGAACAGAATGTTCACTGTTCACTCGTTCTATTTTCCCCTTTTGGTTGGCGATTGCACCCTGCCACGCATGTTGTCCGCATTCATGTCAGGGTAGTAGGTAGTAGGTAGGACTGAAAGTTGAACAAGTGAACAGTGAAAAAATTGCTGAAGAAAAAAGCGTCATCAATTTTTAGTAATTTTTTACTGAAGAAAAAAAATTACTGAAGAAGAAAAGGCCTAAAAGTAGAAGAGATGCGATTTTCAGGTTTCATATTCCTATATTCCTCGAAACGACGCAATTCACATGCATCAATGGGATTCCGATGTCGTTTCGTGGCACATGTGATCGAGTTCCCATCGGGCTCTTCAACCAACGCTGCTAAAGCCGAATGGGATGAGGCCGCTGTGGAGATAGTACGCCTTTTTCTTACCTTTTTTCTTTCTCTCATATCCTACAACAACTTCGTAGACCTGGCGTGATGGCCACATGGATAGAGTAGCTTTTCAGTTTTCATTCAGTTTTTCAACTTTTTAATAGTTTTATTGAGTTTTTCAACTTTTTATTAAGTTCTTCAACTTTTTATCAAGTTTTTTCAACTTGTTATCAAGTTTTTTTCAACTTTTTATTAAGTTCTTCAACTTGTTATCAAGTTTTTTTCAACTTGTTATTAAGTTTTTCAACTTTCTGGACAGGTGAGGTGCCCAAACGAAGTGCAATCGCAAACTGTATCTGTCCCCTAATATAGTACAATTATCAAGTTTTTATAACTCGTTTTTGTGACTCTACTGAAGTTGGTAAAAGTGACCCCTTAATTACTTAATAATTAATTCATAATTAACTAATTATATAGTATATACAAACAAACTTATACAATGGCTATGGCAAAGCAATCGGAAAAAGTTGAAAAAACATAAGAAACAGTTCATAACACCGTACTCACACCAGTCCAGCCCAGCCCAGCCCTATCGTGAATGTATCTGACCACACGTGCCGGCTGAACTGGATGCATCTGATGGCATTTATGGGGTGACCTGGATGTATCTGCCCGCAATTACGTCCATAAATATACGTAAAGAAGTCCCGGTCTGAGTGTCGGTGAAGTACAACAGGCTTCGAAAAAAAAAGTTGAAAAAACTTCGGACAAGTCACCATCAGCTATGGCCGCTCCACTACTTCGAAAAAAAAAGTTGAAAAAACTTCGGACAACCCTGAGCGATCCTCGACGGTCGATAAGATCGAAAAAAAAATGGCATCGAGATTCGCCGAAAACCTCCTTTTCCAGCTTTCTCCTTCATCAATCTGCAAGCTGATCTTCACAAGGCGGAAAAACATCTCCGAATGACCAAAAACACCCCCACAACGTAAAACGTAGTCCCCAGAAAGGCCCAAATCACTCCCATAACCAGGAAAACACCCCCAAAAGGGCCAAAAGAGAACCTCAAAACCCCAGCACACCCCCCAAAGGGAGGAAGAAACACCCCCCAAGAGACCGAAAATTTCAAAAAACACTCCCAAAATAGCAAAAACTCCCTCCACAGGCAAATCCCAAGCTCAACATCGTGGTTTCAAAAAAATGTGTTTGATAACTTTGATTCAATAATTGAATAACATCTTCGCAGCTTTGCATGTTTGGACTTGGAAACGAAACGAACGAGTCCCGATAAAGAAGCGGCTGCAGATACCGATCTCCATTACGAACCTGATGAATGTGAACGGTGCCGATTCCCAAAATTCGGCGCTCCACGAACCTGGCTAACAAAATCGGACTTCCGTCGTTGAATCCAGAATCAACGATGAAATCGATCTGGCAAGTGAAGGAACGAAACTGATTTCAACTGAATGAACAAAATGAACGAAAGCGCGGCGGGTGTCATACTGAATCGGACTGAAATTCTCTGAATGCGATCATAAACGATAATTGTGTGGCGGGCTGGCTGGCGGGCTGGCTGGCCATGAGGAATCCTGTGCAAGAATGTCAGTTAACTTAGAAAAAAAGACAATCAAATCTAAACCACACTGGAGTTATTTCAAACTGGGTTTTTACTGCAGTTAGTTCATAGTAACAGTTAGTTCAAATCTAAACCACGGTGCTGGAGTTAGTTCAAACTGGGTTTTTACTGCAGTTAGTTGTTACGGTTAGTTGAACTTAGTCTATAATCCATTAGTTGTTACGGTTAGTTGAAATTAAATTAGTCTATAATCCATTAGTTGTTACGGTTAGTTGAA